AACTCCTAACTGACCCAAATTCCAGATTCTGAAATTTATTTTAAATTCCCCCAAAGTTTCGAATTTTCTTGAAATTAAAACTAGAAATTTCCCTTTTTCTTTTAAAAGTCAAAAACTCCTAATATAACTTTAATTACTTTGAAAACTTTGTAAATAAAACTTTTTCCCATCTAATACTTGCTGGAAAAAACAGATCCAAACTTGAGAAGGGAGAAATTTTCCGGAAATTTCAGTTTTGACCCTAAAGTTTCAAGATTTACACATGCAACCCACACTAAAAGTTCAAAATCCATCTTTTTCATGAAAAACCCCTAACAATCTGAAATTTTACTTTAGTAGATGCAGAAAACGAAGTTGGAAAGTCACTTTATGCAGAAATTCCGAAAATTACATATTTTACCCCAAAATCTCTAGATCTACACATGCAATACCACCAAAAGTTCAAAAACCACTTTTTCTTACAAAACTTCCTTAAATCCGAAATTTTTGTTTAATAAATGCTGGAAAACAGTTTTGAAAACACATTTAGGACTGACTTCTCAAAAATTACAGATTTGACCCAAAACTTTTGAAGATCTACACATGCAACCCCATAAAAGTTAAAAACTCGTTTTTCTTGAAAACCCCTTTTTGAAATCTGAAATTTTGATTGCTTTTAGCCAATAAAACTTGTATCTAGCCACTACCAACATAGATGATGCATGCAAGAACAAGAAATCAACATTAAACACATATTTTCCATTTTCCCCCCAAAAGCCCTAATTTTTTTCGAAATCACTCCCAATCTTTTAAAAAATTTGAAAACCCATTTTAGTACTATTGATGCCATTTAATTGCAGCAAGAAATCGAAATTTCTTACCTTAAAATCAAAGAAAGAAAACAATTGAAGGAAGGGAGGCTTTCAAGCACCGAAATCCAACCAAGCTACCTTGATTGTGAAAGAAATGGTGTGAGGTTCAAGGAGGTATGAGTTGTTATCTCCCGTAAGGAGGCAAGTGGTTTTGATGGTATTTTTGGAGTAGTCTATGGCAAGAGTTAAATAGGGAACCTTCATCTTATTTTTGGGATTTTCTTTGAAAATGGGAGGTGAGGTGGAGGAAGGAGAAGGCCGATGGTGGTGGTGATGGCTTCGGTGGAAAGAGGAGAGGAAGACAAGTAATGGTTGAGGTGTTGGAAGAAGAAAGATGAAGGATGTCTCTTCATCTTACTAATGAGAGTGTGGAGTGTAGGATTAGTGAAAATGATTAGGGGGTGCCAAGTGTAAAGGCATGCATAGTTATTACTAGTTATTTTATTAATATAAATACAACTTGCATAAACACCACACACACACACACAATCCGGACACACACACATTTCGGACATATATATATATATATATATATATATATATATATATATATATATATATATACTCAAATATGTATATGATGCATGTAATAGTAGGTATAGGTGTATATATCTATATGCATGTACAAAATGTACATATGTATGCATGTATGTACGTATGTATAAATATAATCCACATAATTCACCAAGTTTCGAACCTATAAAAATAATTTACCAAATAAATAAGATACGCAATTACTCATATAAGTCACGTAATTCATGAAGTTCCTAGTATTTCAATTTACGAAAATATAAATCACGCATATAGTAGAGCACATAATTATTCACGTAAGTCACATAATTAAATTCACGTAATGCATATAATTAATATCATGCAATAATATTGCCTAAGGTTTCTCGAGTTAGAAATATTAGTCTCGGGTTTTAGGGTTTTCGGGTTTTGGAAAGGTGGGGCGTTACAATATTCCCCCCCCCCCCCCCCCCCTTAAAGAAATTTTGTCCCCAACATTGTTACCTGAACAACTCGGGGAAATTTTCGCGCATTTCTTTTTTTCGTTCCCACGTGGCTTCTTCGGGTGTATGGTTTTGCCAAAGGATTTTAGCGAATTTAAGGTCTTGGTTTCGAAGAGTTTTAGTTTTGAAATCAAGTATTTGAGACGGTTTCTCTTCGTAAGAAAGGTTAGGGTTTAGATCGATCGGTTCGGTTTTCAATACGTGGTCTGGACTGCGAATGTATTTCCGAAGCATGGAAACGTGAAAGACATTGTGAAAGTTGGATAAATTGGGTGGTAGGGCTAGTCGGTAGGCGCGAGTACCAATTTTGTCGAGAATTTCGAATGGGCCGATAAATCGCGGTGCTAATTTTCCCTTTTTCCCAAATCGCATAATTCCTTTGAAAGGCGCCACTTTCAAGAATACGGAGTCTCCGACTTCGAATTCGAGGTCTCTCCTTCGAGTGTTGGCATAGCTTTGTTGCCGATCTTGGGCAATTCGCATTTTCTCCCGAATATTTTTGATGATATCGACGGTTTGTTGAACTAGGTCGGGACCAAGAAATTTTCTTTCGCCAATCTCGTCCCAATGGAGTGGGGACCTACACTTGCGGCCGTAAAGAGCTTCGTAGGGTGCCATTCCAATTGACGAGTGAAAGCTATGTTTGTACGCGAATTCGATTAGTGGGAGGCGGGATTCCCAATTTCCTCCAAAGTCGAGAATGCACGCGCGGAGAAGATCTTCTAGGGTTTTGATCGTTCGTTCGGATTGGCCATCGATTTGAGGGTGATAGGTGGTGCTAAAGTTTAATCGCGTTCCGAGAGTTTGGTGCAAACTTTTCCAAAATTTGGACGTAAAGCGAGGGTCTCGGTCGGAAATTATTGAGATGGGGACACCGTGGAGTCGGACTATCTCTCGAACGTATAATTCGGTCAGCTTCTCCAAACTAAGCCTCATTCGGATCGGGAGAAAGTGAGCCGTTTTGGTCAGTCGGTCAACGATCACCCAAATGGCGTCGGATCCCCTTTGAGTTTTCGGGAATCCTTGCACGAAGTCCATTGTGATAGCTTCCCATTTCCATTCGGGGATTAGGTTCGATTGAAGTAGACCTCCGGGCCTTTGATGTTCCGCTTTGACTTGTTGGCACACTAGGCATTCGGCGACGAATCGGGCCACGTCTTTCTTCATTCCAGGCCACCAGTAGAGCTTTTTGAGATCTTGGTACATTTTGGTTTCACCGGGATGGCAAGTGTACGTGGTTTGGTGAGCTTCGGTTACGATCAGTCGGTGAATATTTGGATCGTTGGGAACGTAAATGCGATCTTGGAATTGGACGAGACCTTCTTCGGAAATTCGGAAGTTGGGATTGGATTCAAGGTTATCGCGAATTCTAAGGATTTGTGGATCTTTTTGTTGGCTGATTGATTGATTCTCCCAAGTTGGGTTGGACTATGAGGGTGTTGATCGATTTGCGGCTAAGTGCGTCGGCGACTACATTTGCTTTGCCGGGGTGGTAGAGTATCTCGCAGTCGTAATCTTTGACTAGTTCGAGCCATCTTCGTTCCCTCATATTCAAGTCCTTCTGGGTGAAGAAATACTTCAGACTCTTGTGATCGGTGTAGATGTTACACTTTTCACCATAAAGATAGTGTCGCCAAATTTTGAATGCGAAAACGACGGCGGCTAATTCGAGATCGTGCGTTGGATAATTGCGTTCGTACTCTTTGAGTTGTCGAGAGGCGTAGGCAATGACTTTCCCATTTTGCATAAGGACGATGCCCAGACCTAATTTCGAGGCATCACTGTAGACTATGAATTCTCCAACTTTCTCTAGTAGTGCGAGAATTGGTGCCGATGTGAGTCGATTCTTTAATTCGGTGAAACTGGCATCGCATTCAGGCGTCCATTGGTACTTGACGTCTTTTCGAGTCAATCGGGTGAGTGGAGAGGCAAGCTTCGAGAAATCCTCCACGAACTTGCGGTAGTAGCCGGCTAGTCCAAGGAAACTTCGGATTTCCTTTGCATTCTTCGGAATTGACCAATTTGACACCGCTTCGATCTTGCTAGGGTCGACGGAGATTCCTTGTTCTGAAACAATGTGACCAAGGAAAGCCACATTCGAAAGCCAGAATTCGCATTTGCTGAACTTGGCGTATAGTTGGTGCGATCGGAGGGTTTGGAGTACGGTGCGAAGGTGAGACATATGATCTTCTTGGGTTTTGGAGTATATGAGAATATCGTCGATGAAGACGATTACAAACTGGTCCAAGTATTGGTGAAAGACTCGGTTCATCAGGTCCATGAAAGCTGCGGGTGCGTTGGTTAGACCGAAGGGCATGACAACGAATTCATAATGGCCATATCGGGTTCTGAAAGCTGTTTTGGGGATATCAGATTCTTTGATTTTGAGTTGGTGATAACCGGATCGGAGGTCAATTTTAGAGAAGACCGATGAGCCTTGGAGTTGGTCGAAAAGATCATCGATTCGAGGAAGAGGGTATTTATTCTTGATTGTGATTTTGTTGAGTTCACGGTAATCGATGCAAAGGCGAAGGGATCCGTCTTTCTTTTTGACAAAGAGAACCGGTGCACCCCACGGGGAATGGCTGGGTCGGACATAGCCTTTGTCGAGCAATTCTTGGATTTGGTCCTTTAGCTCCTTCAATTCCATCGAGGCCATACGGTATGGGGCTTTGGAAATTGGCGCAGCTCCGGGAATAAGATTGATTTCGAACTCGATTTCTCGATCGGGCGGAAGTCCGGGAATGTCATCGGGAAATACGTCGGGGAATTCTTGGACAGCTTGAATATCGGACATTTGGGCTTTGGGATCGGATTCGGATTTCAGAATATCCACTAAGTAGCCGGAATGGCCTTTGTGAATGAGTTTGACTGCTTTGATCGCGGATATGATTGGAATCGAGGTTTTGGGTTGACTTTGGAATTTTATGGTTTCGCCGTTTGGAAGGGGAAAAATAACCCTTTTCGAATCAATGTGGGCTTTAAATTTGGTTAACCAGTCCATGCCTAGTATAACCTTGAAGTTTTGGATCGGTAGGAGGATTAAATCGAAATTCATGGGTTGAGTGTGAACTCGGATTGGACAATTGATTATGGCTAGATTGGAGCACATCTCATCGCCAGAGGGAATAAGAATTCAATATTCGTAATTTAGTCGATTTGGTTCGAGGTTTAAGTGCGCAATTATGTCTTTCGATATAAATGAATGAGTAGAGCCGGAATCGATTAGAGCGTATATGGGTGCTTCAAGGATAAATATGATACCTGCTATCATGGACGGGTCTTGCTCGATTTGTTCTTGGGTCATGGCGAATACTCGACCGGGGACGTTCGGTGGGGGTTTCGGGCAGTCCTTCACCATGTGTCCGGGCTGATGGCATCGAAAGCAACTTCTCGTTCCTTGTATGCATTCTCCGGAGTGACTCTTTCCACACTTTGGGCAGGTTGGCCTTGGCGGCGGTGGCGGTGGTCCGGTTGATTGGCGGATGGGTTGCGTTCCCTTTCCTCGGAATGGGCGGTTGCCAAAGTTGTTCTTTTTCCACGGGCGTTGAGTAACTCCTTGTGGTCGGCGGCTGTTTTGAATGTCTCGTTCGTCCTGGGCAGCCATGAGTGCTTTGTCTACGAGTTGGCGGAAAGTCGAGGCGTCGGACATACGAATGTCTCTACGGATTTCGGGTTGGAGGCCGCGGATAAAATGATTCTTCTTTTCCTCGGCGTCTCGAGCAATGAATGGAGCATAGAGGCAGCCACGTTCGAAACAGCGGATGTATTCGATCATTGGTAGGTCGCCTTGGCGGAGTTCGAGGAATTCTTTGAGTTTGTGGGCTCACACGTCTTTCGAGAAATATTTTTCGAAGAATTGGACTTTGAAATCGGTCCATGGCAGAGTCTCGAGGTTCGTTCCTTCCTTGATTCCTTCCCACCAGTGACGAGCTTCGTTTCGGAGGAGGAATATGGCACAATGTACGCGGTCGCGGTCGGTCATTTGCATGTAGTTGTTAGGATAGTAGACTAAAAGTCTCGCTTTTAGCTTCGTAGTTTTATTATTGAATTAATAAAATAGTTTATTATCATTTTATGAGAATCTGCACTAGGGTATTCAATGCATTTAATTGATTGTTTGTCAATTAATTAAAAGCATAAGTCTAATATTCTAATAGTATTCGAAATTGTGTGCTACGGCGCACAGAAAGATCATTTTGAAAGTTCGTTTAGAATATAAAGATAAACGTTCACAATCTAGATGGAAATGGACTAACCATTGGTAAAAGACTGTAGCACAATATTTAAGTGATTGGTCTTGATCACAGTACAACGAATAACTTTTGTAGTTATTGTTTTGACTCATTGTGCTAGCACACCCGGCATGTGTTGAACCGGACAAAATGAAATAATTGTTTCATCACTGTTCAAAATGAAACTGTATTATTTCTAGTTGACAGTAAATTACTTACTCTCTTAATCCCTAGATAATTAACGTACATATTTAATTGATGATCTCTACTTTGATGTCACAATGGGAGAGATTCCTATATTGAGTCAAATGGCCCCCGGTGCGTTGGGTAGAGACATTAAGAATTAATAGGTGGAAATTAATTATCGAAAGGAATCCACATCTCTGAAATATGAGATTGATAATAACCCTTGAGTAGCTTATAAGATTTGTTTATGCCAAGTCCTGACCAGGTGGATTTCGTATCCGGCATACTCAAAATAAGTTAAGCGGGCAAGACTCATGAAAAGAAACCATTTAATTTATTTAGCAGTGAATAAATTATTTGGTGGTTATAAGATATCTTAATGTGGGGAGAATCTAAGTAATGATCGAACGGAGCTCGAATGTAATATTTGAGAATATAAACAGGAGTTCAATAATTATTTGGTAGTGGAAAATAAATAATTATTTAATGATTAATTAAATGAATTCTTTTAAGAGTTTGGATTTGATTAATTATTAGTTGCCCGATTTATATTTTCTCCTTTAGTCCCTATTGTAGCCCAATGGATTTTCTAATTAATCGAGAAAATAAAGTTCAACTAATATTATATATTGGAATTAATATAGCCGAAAATTAAGTCCCCTTTGGATTATAATTTTCGACTATATAGAGTTATAGAAGGAGTGGGATTTGTTTCCATGTAATCCTCTCTATGTGGGACTCTAATTCCTTGTGTTATATATAATAGAGATTAGGTTGATGAGAAAAAAAAAAAACTCCTACACGCCTATTTACGTTGGAAGAGAAGAATTTTTCTTCTTCTTCCTTTCTCTCTAAATTTCTCGATTATAGGGTTAGGTTTCTTCAAGTACAAGTCCACCCTTGTAGAAGAATTATTAATCCGGGATATACAATAGAAGATTATAGGTTTTTAGAGCAAACTATAATTCCCGAATTTTCTGAGCAGTCCTGCGAAGAAATTCACCATAAATCAACCGTTTGTCCGATTAGCACGAAATTTATACAGTAGCTTCCTAACCCTTAGATCTAATATCCGTCCGAAGGGTTTCCCGATCGGGTTAACGATCACGGAGATATCGGTGAAGGAAGAGGACTGAAAATTTCTGGACAGCAGCTTTTACGAAGGTTGAAAGCTTGACGTGGATCCTCGTTCGTGCGCCGAAGATAGAAACGGATCTGTTCGCGAAAATTGTAAGTTGCTAGATTAGATTTATTCCGCTTTAAACGAATCTAATCAAAGCATGTAAATAAAATTAAAACCGGCTAATCTAGAACCTCTTGCGAATTTTCATTGAATCCTGGGCTTCACATCCCAACAGTAGTCGTATATGACTTCGAGAGATTTGATCCACTCTTCGGCTATGGTGGGGTCGGTTCCACCGTGGAATTCGGATGGGTTCATTCGGAGGAATCGTTCGTATATAGCTTGAGGCGCGTTATTTTGGGGCGGGGTTTGGTTACGTTGGAGGAGTTGTTCGATTTGACGTTGGTGGTTTTGGGCTTGTTCACGGATTAAGTTAGAGAGATTATCGATAGTTTGATTGTGGTCTTGTGGTGCATCCGAAGGAGTGCTCGGTTTTCCTCGGGTTACACGTCTCACCATTATTCTATATATTAATTTATAACTAATAAATAAAGCAAGTAAAACACATAAAGAAAATAATGCACATACTTTACCGGATGGTCCGAGCTTTGCGTCTCGAGTAGTCTTTAAGCCCGTGAAGTTTGTACAAGTATCTATGAACCATGCTCTGATACCACTGTTGTAGCCCCCCCCCCTTTATATCGGGCGATAAATCGAACCGGTTTATCGGAATTCTATATACTTAGCAGAAGCAAGGGATCTCTTTGTAATTTTTAAAACTTTAGAATGAGGCGAAAATGCAATTATCAAAAATATCTTCCTTTGGGTATTGAAAACTTTGCACTTTCGGAAAAAACTTTTCTTAGGTTATTCTAGCCGAATGAAGGTTTCGTTTGGAAATAAGTTTCGAGGGGAGGTTTCTCGTTCGAGTGCTACAGTATTACTATCGGTTTCGGTTCGAGAAGAAATCAGAGTTTAAAAGGGTTATTTTGGTGAATAAATCGGAATTCACTAATGGAGACATGAAAATAGCAAATTACGAAACTTACTATATTATAATAGGAGTTAAGTACGATTCATACCGGAAAATAAGTTCAAAAGGGTACGAAAAGAAAATGTTAGGGTTTAATATTACATCACCAAAAGAAAACCCAAAATATATGGCATCGTTCATAGGTCCTCGTACAACTTCCAACAAAATCCCGGGCAAAGACCTCGATCCGCTACTCGACCCATCCCGGTTGATGATTACTACTACCTGCAATTAAAAGACATCTATATGAGCTATAAAACTCAGTAAGAAATCCGAGTAATATCGCACTTTGAAAATACGTTATACATAATATATAATATTATATACCCATTCTTACCCACGTTCCGTACAACAACACAAGGCAATCGGTCAAATCACATATCTCATGAAAACACATTATTCAAACAAAATCACGTACTTATGCAAATTGACTAAAATGCCCTTTTTGTAAAAATCATGAAAAAAAACACACTTTTTGTTTTTTTTTTTTTTTTTTTTTATCGGATCCGTGAAAGATTAATTTATGTACTCGAGTAATAAACCTGTTACGAGCCCGTTTTCACTAAGTGGAATCAAACCACAACACACATCATCCTAGTTGGATACCGGCCCACTATATCCGAGTTGTTTATTACCCGGTATTCCATTAATCTTTCAATTTAAAAACCTTTTTATGCAACTTTTCGAAATTATGCTTATGAGCCACACATAAACATCACAAATGTCAATCAAGTGCCACAAAATCACATAAATGTCACAATTTACCACATAATTATAAATTGGGTAAAAATCCCCAAATTCTCACACATAAATACACAACCACACACGGCACACATCACATAAAAGTAAAGGCATAAAAGTAAAGGCACAAAACATACTAAATGACATGCAAAATGTCTAAATTTCAAAATAATAGCAAACTAATTCCAAAATTCCCAATTTAAATCATAGAACTCCTAACTGACCCAAATTCCAGATTCTGAAATCTATTTTAAATTCCCCCAAAGTTTCGAATTTTCTTGAAATTAAAACTAGAAATTTCCCTTTTTCTTTTAAAAGTAAAAAACTCCTAATATAACTTTAATTACTTTGAAAACTTTGTAAATAAAACTTTTTCCCATCTAATACTTGCTGGAAAAAACAGATCCAAACTTGAGAAGGGAGAAATTTTCCGGAAATTTCAGTTTTGACCCTAAAGTTTCAAGATTTACACATGCAACCCACACTAAAAGTTCAAAATCCATCTTTTTCATGAAAAACCCCTAACAATCTGAAATTTTACTTTAGTAGATGCATAAAACGAAGTTGGAAAGTCACTTTATGCAGAAATTCCGAAAATTACATATTTTACCCCAAAATCTCTAGATCTACACATGCAATACCACCAAAAGTTCAAAAACCACTTTTTCTTACAAAACTTCCTTAAATCCGAAATTTTTGTTTAATAAATGCTGGAAAACAGTTTTGAAAACACATTTAGGACTGACTTCTCAAAAATTACAGATTTGGCCCAAAACTTTTGAAGATCTACACATGCAACCCCATAAAAGTTAAAAACTCGTTTTTCTTGAAAACCCCTTTTTGAAATCTGAAATTTTCATTGATTTTGGCCAATAAAACTTGTATCTACCCACTACCAACATAGATGATGCATGCAAGAACAAGAAATCAACATTAAACACATATTTTCCATTTTCCCCCCAAAAGCCCTAATTTTTTTCGAAATCACTCCCAATCTTTTAAAATTTTTGAAAAACCATTTTAGTACTATTGATGCCATTTAATTGCAGCAATAAATCGAAATTTCTTACCTTAAAATCGAAGAAAGAAAACAATTGAAGGAAGGGAGGCTTTCAAGCACCGAAATCCAACCAAGCTACATTGATTGTGAAAGAAATGGTGTGATCTTCAAGGAGGGATGAGTTGTTATCTCCCGTAAGGAGGTAAGTTGTTTTGATGGTATTTTTGGAGTAGTCTATGGCAAGAGTTGAATAGGGAACCTTCATCTTATTTTTGGGATTTTCTTTGAAAATGGGAGGTGAGGTGGAGGAAGGAGAAGGCCGATGGTGGTGGTGAAGGCTTCGGTGGAAAGAGGAGAGGAAGACAAGTAATGGTTGAGGTGTTGGAAGAAGAAAGATGAAGGGTGTGTCTTCATCTTACTAATGAGAGTGTGGAGTGTAGGATTAGTGAAAAATGATTAGGGGGTGCCAAGTGTAAAGGCATGCATGCTTATTACTAGTTATTTTATTAATATAAATACAACTTCCATAAACACCACACACACACACACACAATCCGGACACACACACATTTCGGACATATATATATATATATATATATATATATATATATATATATATATATATATATATATATATATATATATATACTCAAATATGTATATGATGCATGTAATAGTAGGTATAGGCGTATATCTATATGCATGTACAAAATGTACATATGTATGCATGTATGTACGTATGTATAAATATAATCCACATAATTCACCAAGTTTCGAACATATAAAAATAATTTACCAAATAAATAAGATACGCAATTACTCATATAAGTCACGTAATTCACGAAGTTCCTAGTGTTTCAAATTACGAAAATAGAAATCACACATATAGTAGCTTACATAATTATTCACGTAAGTCACATAATTAAATTCACGTAATGCATATAATTAATATCATGCAATAATATTGCCTAAGGTTTCTCGAGTTAGAAATATTAGTCTCGGGTTTTAGGGTTTTCGGGTTTTGGAAAGGTGGGGTGTTACAATTATAAATAGTACTCCCTCCTTCCCTTAATACTTGTGACTTTTGCCATTTTTCTCATATTTCAAATTATTTGTCATTTCTATTCCAATAAATAATTAATTGCATTTTTTCAATTTTGCCCTTTCTCACTCATAATTAATTGAAATATAATTATTCAAAAATCAATTAAAGGTATGGGCATTTTAGTGATTTACTATACTATTTGTTACTATCTATGCATATTTATTGAAGTTCTTAATATATATGCAACTAACTAAAGTGACAACTATTGAGGGAAAGAGGGAGTAAGTGACTCATTTTATTAATGTTAAAGCCAATGCTTCATGAAACAGTATTTACTTGCACGCATTTTGTATGATTGTTTTTATTTTAATGGAAATTATTATAATTCAACATTTAATATCAATTAAAGATATTTACTAATTGGACATCCAGCATAAATGTTTGCATTTCCTCAACCATGTCTTTCTTGCGCATTATCCTATGATAATGATGATCCATTTATATAAGAATTTCACCATTCTTTTTGTTAGTAAAACAATACTATTCTTTTATTTTCGCTATTGGTGATTACCTTTATATTGTATGTGTCTTCTTGTTATTGTATTTTAAAGAAGTTACTGAAATCAACTCAAAATGATCCAAAACGACTAAAAAAAGATAGCAAAATTCGAAATCAGTTATAAAAGTATGAAAACAACTATATTGTTGTAAGAGACACCCAACACATTAAAATTAAAAAAACTATATTGGTGTTTTCGACTACAAAATTACCAAATCAACTAAAAAAAATTAGTTGATTAATGAAATCAACTACAACAATAATGAAAACAACTATATTTCTCTAAATAACACCAATACAATTCCAACAAAACAAACATCCGTTATACTATTCGTTGAACCAAAATTAAACTCCAAAACAATAAAATTTTACCCAATTCAGCACTGGTAAACTCGAAACGAAAAAAAATAAGGAATTTGAAGAAAAAAGAAGAAGCAAATCGTGTGGAGAGAAACCTAAAATGGATTAAAGAAAAATAAAAGCAATTAACTATTCACATTATTCATCAATTCTCATTTCCTCTTGGAAAATTTCGCCCACTACTCATTCTTCTTCTGAAAAAGATATCCAGTACAATCACGTGACACAATTGGTTGTGGTGCCCTTCAAAGAAGATCAATTTGATGATGAAAGTAAGCGATTATTCTTCCGAAGTAGAAGAATTTGATGATGAAAAAGTAAGCGATTCTTCTTCTTCTGGTGAAGAAGAAAAAGAAGAAGAAAAATGAGCAATATGTTGCTTGGGGTTCCCAATTCCATCGAATTGTTGAAGTTTTGGGGGTTGGTATCCGGCTGGCATCCTCGATGCATCGATTCGCTTAGTGTACGTCTTTGAGTACATGGGTGACACTTGAGATGGTCCGCCATATTGCGCTTTGATGGTATTGGCAATCATCTCTTGCAATTGTTGAACAGATAGCGTGGCAACAGACATCGAAGAACGAGCGGCGCCTTGCACAAAGTCCAGCTTAGGCTGTGCTTCTTCCACTTGCTTTGCTTTCTCATCACGTAGCGGGTAAGATTCGTGCTTCGGACTAAACTCCCCAACCTCTGATTGTTCCAACTTATCCATTAATTGAACGATTTTCATGTCTTTGTCTTCGACTATTTTTTGATGAATAGACACTTTAGGGTCAAGTGCGCCAATTGCTCATCCACGGAACTCGCATCAACCACCATGACCGGCAATGTGGTGAAGGCTTGAGATTTGGAGTCGATCTCTTCCGATCCTAAGGAGCTTGAGCCATTTGACGTAGTTGTATTATCGATCTTTCCCCCGGTGGATGATAAACCAACAGCA